AAGTTGGGTGATAAAGAAACAAGCAAAAAAAAAAAAAAAAGAAAAAAATCAAAAAGTAGCTGAATACAGTAAAGAAAACAAGTATTTGGTTGACACTAAACAAAAGTTTCTTAACAAATTGATGATAATCACTGAAAAACAAAATCAATGAATTTTTTCCAGTTTACCAAATTAAACTGAAAACACTATAAAAACAACACTAAAAGATAGAAAAAAAAACAGAGAAAAAGTAGTCGCAGTTAGCAAACAAATTTTGTTAAAGAAACAATTTTTACTGAAAAAAAAAGAAAAAAATTATAAGAAAAGGAAAAGCAAAAAAAAAAAAAAAAAACTATTGTCATCAATTCATTTGTATACTTTCTCTGTCGATACTGCAAATTGTTGTTTTTTTTTTCGTATTTCTAATGTTTAACAAATTATTCATTTTTCTTTTTTTTTTTTTGACTATAAATACCACAAAAAAAAAAATTTTTTTTTTTTTCAGGTGTAAAATGACCCCAAAAATAGTAGCAATAATGTTTTTATCTGTTCATCAATTGTGATTAAACAAAGATGATTTGTACAGTTGTCAGTTAAACAGTTGGTTAGTTTTGTTGGTTAACTAACTGTTTTTGTGCGAATTGGCGTAACGTACCCGGTAATTTGATGAGTAAACTTTTTTTTTTTTCTTCTCTGAGTTGTGGGTAAATGCGTCAAAATAAGAACAGCAACAACAAAAAAAAAAGAAACCATTTGTTTGATGATTTATGTGTCAATCATATTAGTTAATTGAATAATGTCATCACCAGCAGTAATACACTTTGAACATGTTGATCTCACGTGAAAAACTAACGACGTCATCGCTGTGTATCAATTTTTTTTTTCGATTGTTTAAAAGGATAAACAGCGACAGTTATTACGATTGCTATTATGATGACCACTACGGCGCCTAGGCTGCAACAACGATGACGATGACGATGACGAAGAAGACGGACGAACAACGATGATAATGCACATTACAAGCGGAATGTTAACAGCAGCTTTGATAACAACGATAGTAAAAGTAACAGCAGATTATAAAACAGCTAAAAGCAACAATGATAAAAAGATCGGTTTTGTTCAAGATTTCCTGATTAGTCATTATATAGACTAAAAACAAGGTGTATATCCTATGTACGTTTAAATGAGCAAACTTTTTTCTCCTTCAAATTTTTCCAACAATAAACTGATTTTTTTTTTTTTTTTGTTGCTATCAATGTTTCTTTGTTCTTTCTTTTTTTTGCTCTTTTTTAGTTTGAATACCAATGGCATAGTTTGACCGTTGTTGTAAATGCTTCATTGTTGTCGACCCTCACTTCAACAAATAAATTTTCTAAATTTTAAAATGTTTTCAACAGCTTTTTTTTTCTTTTATTCTTCTATTCTCTTGCTATCTCCTAAGCTATCTACACGCAAAAAATCTCATTAACTTTTCTTGGGCTTCTTATACTGTTATTTTTTTTTAAATTAGGTCAACAAAAAAACTTAATTTAAAAAAAGCTTTCGTTTTATTGGCATGCGGTTAGTTCCGCGAACAATGGACTCTATAATGATAACGGTGAGTTGATTGATCGGAACCTTTTTTTTTTTCTCGATTATCGCTATGGTAAATTAACAGAAAAGAATAAAAGAAATCAGAAGGTAAAAAGTTATAGATTAACGTCTCATTACAGTGTTGCTGTAGCAGCAAAGAACTTTGGATCAAATCCTCGAGCACAACAAACAATTGACACTTCTACTATTGCATATGTCTCAATCAGTCAAAATGATGAGAAAGTAGTGATAACCGAGATTCAAGGAGAAGTAGCAAAGACTTCCTGTTCGTCAAATTTCAATGAATCAACTGATGATACATGCATAAAAGAAGGCAATAAGCAAAAAAACAAAAAAGTAAAGCAAATTACTACAAACGATCAAATAGAGACAGACAAACCAAACAGCGAATTCGTTTTTTCTCGGGGCACCGCCTGCTACTGTAGGTGTGTTATGCCCGGAATTGTTATGAACTAAAAATTGAACGCTTGCTAATGATGACGATTTGTGTGGGTCTTCTCCGCCCCACAATCAACTACGTTTCTTCGTCTGCTTTCGTGTTTCTAAAAAGGAAGCGACAGTTTTTCGCAAAACTTCTTTTCACCAGTCCCTCCCCAGTTTGATTTTCCTATATAAATCATACTGGAACATGATCTTTACATTCTTCAATCCGATTACAGTCATCGTTGAAAACCATTTTTGGTTTTTCACCCCTCCCCCCTTCCTTTTTTTTTTTTTTTTTTTAGCCTTGTGCTACTCCCTGGTGTGGTGGTTGAACCCGGCAAATTACTGCAACCAGTTAACTTTTTGGCTTTACAGATAAGTTAACAAGCAGCTGTTTGCTTTACAGCACCGTTTCTAACCCATTACCTCTTAATTTAAACCCCTTATAACAACTACTGTCTACTGTTGATCGACGCCGAACCAGTGGTTCCAACAGTTTCCTGACAATTTCAAACTTTCTGAAATTTCTACTTCGACAGCACTCAAGCCCTCATTCAAAAAAGAAAGGTAAAAAATGATTCTCTTGTAGCATTACAACTAACTTAAGACTAATCCAGAAAGCATAGGTTAGTAATTCAACTAATTAAATGCTCTGGTAGCATTTTTTTCAAATAATAAAAATTTTGTTTGAGTATTAAACTTTCAGTATTTTGTTTCTCTTGACTAAGGCAGATAGGTAGTATTTTTGTTGCTTTTCTTTTCTCCTAACAATTAGGTTTTCAATTTTTAGGATTAATTTGTTTAGAGCTTACCGTATATCTGTCTCTATGTGATAGCAGTGTATAAGTTTAGAAATGTAAGAAGCCAATTGTAGCTTCAATTAAAATATTTTTTGCAAGACCACTTAATTTTTCTTTTTCATTCTTTTTGTTTCTAAGTCAAAACTGTTGAACGAAACAGGATTGGTGTTTCTAGAAAAAATGATTTTTTATCATTGTTACCTATGCTTTCTTTTTTATTATCATAGTTCAGTTTTACAAATTTGTGAATTGTTTTTCAAATGCAATTCTGTCACGAAAAAAATAAAAAGAACAATTTTTTTAGGCTTAACTTGATAATAATGTTTGAGCTGTTTACTGAAGGGGTAACACTACTTAATGCAATTTCGTTATTGGCATTTATAACGACAGTCGGGTTGTTCTTCTGTGGCTTGTAAGCTTTTTGTCTTGTATCCTTATTGTTTATTAGTTTGGTCTTCTGAAGCCTGTCCTTCTCCTTTTTCCGTGCACTTCAATTTGTGAAATCAATAAATTTAAATGGGAAGAGTACAGTTTAGAATGATCTTAAAAGTGTAGAATCTGTAGCAGTTTTGGGTACATAACATTAACGTTGACAACAGAACCGTAGAATATGGTGAACTAATAATTTGTTTGCACTTTTTAAGCTATGAAGTACTTCTTGTTTGAAAAAAAATTTTTTTTTTCCTTTTTACTTTTAGTTTTTTATATTTCTTGTAAATGACTTAATAGATTCAATGTTCTGTTTTCTTAGCTGTGTAATAATAGATCGTCAGAACTATTGTTTTGCTTTGCTATTTGTTATAAGAAAGCGTTATTATTGTAAGGTATTAGATAATTGTTGCTATTAAAGAACCGTCACTTGACAACAAAATAGTAAAAGCAATTATCTGTTAGTTAACTGTTAGTTTAAGTTAGCAGATAAACTGATGGTATAATCACAATTGTTTCAGTCCGATATGCCGACAAATTTTGAAAAGACATGGTACCAAAGAAATCAGCGGTGCTCCATTTATGATGGGAGTTGTTGGGTATGCATTGCCGAAGTTAAATAAGCTTTAATAATTCTCATGTATCGTGAATAAAATTTCTACCTGTTATTTCATATTTTCTTATTGAAAACTGAGACATATAGTGTTTTAGCGGTTCATGTTGGTGGACCTATGGATACCTGAAAAACGATCAAACACTACTCTATGTGACCACTACTCAAATTATTTTATACGCATCATATCTGACTTTTTACTGGTTTATGACCGAAAGAAAAGTATGTACCAGTTAGTTAAAAAATGTTTCTTACACAAAGCCTTCAAAAAAAAATTTTTTTTATATTTGTCTTTTAGCAGAAGAATAGTGAAAAATTTGTCATAGCTTTCTACAGTTTACTGATTTGGAATTCCGCTAAAGTACAAAATGATCTTTCAATAATTTTTATCGTCCTGTTCACTTTTCGTTGAAAATAATTTTTTGCTTTTGAATTTTAGCTGAAAATCACACTTAAATGTGGCGCAGTTATCGGAATCTGCGTAACTCTTTACCTGCTTGTTCATTTCTTCGGTATGAAAGTCCATCATCCACTTGGCGTTGTCTGCTTATGCCTAAATGTTGCTGATTTTGCTGCACCTTTGGCTGGAATGGTAATACTTTTCGATTATTTAAACATTGTTTGCTAGTTCTTTTTTTTTGTCTGGAAAAGCACGATAGTACACTAAAATGTTCTTTTGTAAGCTTAACTTTTTTTTGAATAAGGAAGCATTTGAGTTAAATCAAGTTTGATTTCAGAAGTATGTAATCCGAAATTGGTCAACTCAGACCCTACCACTTCCGCTCTGTATCGCTAACTTTTTGGTATCATCTGAATGGTTCATTTACGGTACCTTAGTTCAAGACCTTTATCTGATGGTACGTTAATTGTCAGTAAAAAGCTAAAGGTCTTCTTTTTGTTCAATTTACTGTTTTACCAAATATTATATTTCAGTTCACTTGGTAGCTTCTTTCCTTTTTCAGCTTCCTAACGGGATTGGTTCAGTTCTAGCCAGCGGCCAGCTGATCCTTTTTATAGTTTTGCCGCGTAAAACTGGATTACAAAGCCCATTACGAAAACTTTTCAACATTCTTCTATGCCGACAAACTGCTCGTGTAGCGGATGTGGAGCCAGACTCCAGTAGGGAATCATTGCATCTTCGTTACCATTGTTCGTTTTTCTTTCTAAGCGATAAAATTTTTTGACTTGAATACAATATTTTACAGTTAAAGTTATATCAAAAGAGATGACCAAAGAAGGAGTTGGCTTACCAAAACATACTTGGTCAGAGCGAGTGATTGCAAATGTTACCGAAGAAATTGGCAGCGTTCTGCAGAAATGTTCCATCAAAGATCAGTAAGTGGTTCCACCAGCTTCTTCTTTATAATGCGGGATTTCGAGAAACAAAGTTAAAATCTTGTTTCTGAAAGTGTTTTTTAGTTTACCAATTCTCTTTTCTAGATTTGGCTATAACAACGAGTTAGTAAATGAAGAAAGCGATACGGTTTCGTGCACTAGTTCATCAACACTGGGAAGGCCTATTTCTAAAGCAATCCTTCCCGAAAGTTTTATTGTTGTGGCAACAGTAGAACCCGAGGGAAAAGACCAGAAAACCGATGACAGTGCACAAGGAACGAAAGAGTACCATTTGGCATCATTTGCAAGTCAGTTAATGGCCACGCTGGAACCTGAGGTTAAAGCTGAAGTAAAAGCAGCTTCACGGCCTAAATATACCATAAAACGTTCGTACAGTTTTCCAAACCTAAAAATTAATATTTGACGCGACGGTAGAGAATATTTGCCGTGAAAGAAATATTAGCTGTGAGTTAGTAAAAGACTGAAGTTTTGTAAGTTATTGTAACTGAATCTGTTTTGTCTCTTTTGACCTGACATCTATTGTAATGTCGGAATCTTGTTCTTTGACTTTGGCACGATCAACGTGCTAGTACCACCACTTTATTTTTACTGTCTCTTTGCAAAACGCTGTTGACTTCTTTAATTGAACGGGTATTCTTGGCTGTTCAGGCAAGTATTTTTAATTTTTATGTCTAACCTCAGTTGCAAAGTTTATTATACTAAAATGCTCACAAGAAGGCAGTTTTGCTTATGAGGTTTCACTGAATTCCAAGAAAACTTTAGTCATTAGAAATCTCATAGCAAGGGGGCTGTCAGACAATCTTTGAATATCATCAAATTTTGTTGTTGAAAATACTGGTCTGATCAGATTCTGTTATTGTCAGCTATATTTTTTTTCCGTCTACCAGCTACACAACAGATGCAAAAATATGTAAAAAAAGAAGGAGAAACTGTTTAAGGCTAATTGTAAAATTGTTCAGATGAATAACAATTTTTCTCCAGATTTGCAAAGTGTTGTGTAACTGGCTGTATCATACTTTTTCTTTCTTTTTTTGCCAATATTTGGGTGTCTTTTGAACTCCACCAATCGAGTGGTGGTTTCATTTTAGACTAATGGCTTCTATTTGCACTAGTTTGCTGTTTATGTAACTGCTATTATTGTTTGCTGATCTCTAGTCATTCTTGTGCTTTCTAGTTCCACTTTGTCAACCAAGCAAACGGCAAGCAGTAGTGCTTCTGCAAAAGCAGGAGATGCAATAAATTATTTCATTTAGTTGCTTATCGTACGGACAGTTTCCGGTAATGACTAACAATTTACACAACTAAGAGGCTGGGAGATAGAAGAATAATGAAAAAAACAGACTTTATAATGCCCTTATTTTACTAGTTTTACAAGTATCTGCCAAAATGAAATCGGTTGCCCTTTTTTTGATTGATATATGTCAAATGCATAAAGAATTTCTTTTACTTTTTCTGTAGCCATCTTTATGTGCAGTCATTGGTCATAGTGTTTTGACCGGCAATACCAAAAAACGGTTTTAGTGTCACTAGTTACATTTCTGTGAAATTACTGCTTTTTTTTGTTAACTCTCAATGAGTACACAAAAACGATTTCTTTGATTCAAATACTTTGCGGATTCTTTACCGCATATTATTTTACCGGTGCAGCTACTATTTTTAATAATAAGATGAAGTATTTAGCACAACTCATATAAGTGAAAATGGATTACCAAGACTGAAATCTAACAACGTATAATCATTTATTTTTTAATTAATTAACAAACCACCAAAAACAAGAATAAATGTATAGAATAAAGTTCTCGTTACAACTAATTTATACAGTTAACAGGTTTTATTGCTTCAAGTTGCAGAACAAACGCAAAATATGACCATTTCACGTCAAGTGATTATCGAGCTTAGCTAACGGTAAGAGCTGATTTTTAACACTAAAAAAAAAGCCAGTACAATTTTATGGTGAGCCTGTACCAAGGAGTAATCAAAAGCTGCTGAGTTTGCTGAAATCAAGACATTGGTGGCGGGATCTCTTTTTTCATAAAATCACATTCATAAAGTGTTATTTTTTGTAATTATATCGTCGTTCAAAATGTCTCTTTGAACTCTTAAAATAAAATCGAAAAAAGAAGTTTTTTGCTCAGTTGTCGATTAACTGAAATGCAGCTCGTGATCAGGGCTAATCAGGGAAATTTTTGTAATCGCTTGCTGCGTCGTAGAGCACCACGTCATCTCCAGTCAGCTGAGAGATGTTGACTACTACCTCAATAGTCGTCTTGAGATATTTAACACTTCTAAGCTATTGAAGCAGTTACTAAGTAAAAAACTGCCATCTTCATACTCGTCACAGGCTAATTTATTTTTCTGATTTTAACTAGTGCGGAAATAACAAGTGGCAGAAGTACAAAAAACATTATTACAAATTTACTTTACCCTCATTTGACTTCAAAGTACTTGATGAAATTCTCTCAAAGAACTGATAGTGTAATAAGCTGCCAAAATACGTAAAATTATATCGGGCAAAAGTGGTACATTATAAGGCTAAGGTTCAAATGGAGAAGATTATGTCAAAATAACAAGGCAAAAATTTTGTAAAGAATTGATAAATCACTAGATGGAGGAAAAATAGCAATATGTCTTGAAAAACAATGCATTTTTTACTACTGTTAAGGTTGAAAGTTGGTAGCAGAATTAAATGATAAGAGGTCAAACGAGATAAAAAACTGTTGAGAAAGAAATTAGTTTTTGGCAGTAAAGTTTTAAAAGTCACTTGTAATTTATGTCTGCTGCTACACTGTACACTACTTAATCAAAATGCAAGAAGAAATTTAAGAGCATGGTGATTTTGAGACTTCCAGGGACATAAATTATAAACAACTCCAAAATCATCTCTGCATTTGAAAGGCAATATTTGTAGCAGATGAAACCGGTTTTCTCACACTGTTGACAAACACCTTGTTTTCACTGACGCCGTTCTATTCGGTTTCTTATGATAAGCATTCAAAAGATTTTAAGCAAGTTGGAGATTTGTTTTTTTCTAAATTTCCTGGACGTCTTACCAGTTTGTTATTGTTAACGTACAAATTTCCAGCTGTTAATAAAATTAAAAACGGCTTTTAGTGCAACGCTGACCTCAATTTCCAGTTTGTTTATACAGGTTTTAAGCACAGTGACCTACAGAATAATTCATGATATCGCTTCTGGGAACTTTTTCATAGTATGACTGCTCACAGTGATCAGTCGCATTAATCGGTATCAAAGCTTTATATTTGATTAAGCGATAAAAGAAAAACAAAACAAAAAAAAAAAAAAAAAAA